AGAAATATCAAACTGGAGTGATCCAGTAATTATTTAACAGATTCTATCAGTTAAAATATTTCTGCCTTGCCGGCATGGCTCAGTGGTTGGATGTCGACCTATGAACCAGAATGTCATAGTTCAATTTCCAGTCAGGGCATATGCCCTGGTTGCAGGCTTGATCCCCAGAGTGGGGCGTGCAGGAGGCAGCTGATCAATGATTTTTCTCTCATCATCAATGTTTCTATCTCTCTCTCCCTTTCCCTTCCTCTCTGAAATCAATAAAAAATACTTTTTAAATTAAAAATAAAATATTTCTTACAAAGAAGATGCCAGGCCCCAGTGGTTTTTTAAAATATATTTTTATTGATTTCAGAGAAGGTAGAGGGAGAGAGAGAAAAACATCAATGATGAGAGAGAATCATTGATTGGCTGCCTCCTGCATGCCCCCTAATGAAGATCGAGCCCACAGCCCGGGCATGTGCCCTTGATCAGAATCGAACCCAGGACCATTCAGTCCACAGGCTGATGCTCTATCCACTGAGCCAAACCAGCTAGGGCAGCCCCAATGTTTTTATCTGAAAATTGTGCCAAATATTTCAAGAACTGATATAATTCCTTGGACAATCTCTGTCATAAAATAGAATGAAAGAAAATAGTTCCCATTTCGTTTTATGACACCAAAATCAAATAGGGAAATATAGAATGAAAAAATTACAAGACAATCTCATTTATGAACAAAACTCCAAATTCCTAAACAAGATATTAATGAATTAAATCCAAGCAGTTTTTATTTGTCATCAGACTGCAAGATTAGTTCAACACAATAAAAAACCTCTAATTTAATTTACCTTAACAGATTAAAGTGTAAAATTATCCTGTCAAGCCCTCAGTGGATACAGAAAGCACCTTTAATAAAATCCAACATCTACTCATCTATACTAATAAAAGTCTTGGGGGTGATCTGGCCAGCAGGGGAGGGCAGTTGGGGATGATCAGGCCAGCAGGGGAGTAGTTAGGCATCAATCAGGCCGGCAGGGGACCTGTTAGGGGGCGATCAGGCTGGCAGGCTGAAGCAGTTAGGGGCCATCAGGCAGGCACACAGGCGAGTGGTTAGGAGACAGTGGTCCAGGATTGTGAGAGGGATGTCCAACTGCCGGTTTAGGCCCGATCCCGGCAGTCGGACATCCTGGGATCAGGCCTGCCAGACATCCAGGGACATCCTTGGATCAGGCCTGTCAGACATCCTGGGATCAGTCCTGTTGGACATCCTGGGATCAGGCCTAAACCAGCAGTCGACATCCCCCGAAGGGTCCGAGATTGGAGAGGGTGCAGGCTGGGCTGAGGGACACCCCCCTCCCGTGCACGAATTTCGTGCACTGGGCCACTAGTTTGAAAATAATCCTATTGGAAAACTGGGGAGTCACTCCTACTAAACCCTGCACTGTGGAAATAAAAAAAAAAAGAATAAACTTCCTTAGCCTGTTAAATGGTATCCATAAAAAAAACTAGAGCAAACTTACTCAAAGGTGAAACTTTTAAAGTATTCCCTTTAAAATTAGGATCAACCTAATGTACATTATTAACATTTGTATTCACATTGTACTGAAAATGATGTATGTGTATTGGAGGTAGGAGGTCCTAACAATGCAGTAATATAAGAAAAGGTGACTAAAAATATAAGGAATGGAGGGGAATAAAGAAAACTCATTTACAAACAACTTATCAAAATTAGCCCCAGCCAGCTGGCTCAGTTGGTCGGAACACTGTCCCACACACCAAAAAGGCTGTGGGTTTGATCCTGGTCCAGGTGCATAAGGGAGACAACCCATGGATGTTTCTCACATCAATGTCTCTCTCTCTTTCTTTCTCTCTCTCTCTCTCTCTCTCTCTCTCTCAAATCAATAAACATATTCTCGGGTGAGGATTTTAAAAAAAGTAATGATAGATTAGGTTTGTTATAAATGCAATATAAAACAAACCAATTATATTTGTATACATTACCAATAAAATGTAATTTTTCTAAAATGTATTATTGAAAATAGCAACAAAAATAAGCAAAAAATTTCTTACAATGATGTGCAAGCCCTTTTATTTTTATTGTTAATTCTCACTCAAGGATATTTTTCCATTGCTTTTAGATAGAGTGGGAGGGAGGGAGAGAAACATCAATATGAGAGAGACATTGATTGGTTGTTTCCCATGCATGCTGTAATGGGGCAGGGGATGAAACTTGCAACCCAGGTACATGCCCTTGACTGGAAATTGAACCCATGACCCATCGGTGTGCAGGCCGACGCTCTAACCAATGAGCTCACTGGCCAAGGCTTAAGGAAGCCCTTTTAAATAACAAAACTTTACTCAAATGACATGAAAATAGTGGTTCAGTGATTGAGCGTCGACTAATAACCAGAAGGTCAGGGTTTGATTCCTGGTCAGGGCAAATGCCTGGGGTGTACAGGAGAGAGCTGATCAATGGTTCTCTCTCATCACTGATGTTTCTATCTCTCTCTCCCACTCTCTTCTTCTCTGAAATCAATAAAAATATATGTAAAAAAGAAAATAGTTTAAATAGATGGAGAGACATACCATGTTTTCAGAAGATAATATTGCAAAAATGTTAACTCTCCTTAAATTGATTTACAGATTGAATGTAATTCCAATAAAAATCCCAAACATTGTGTGTGTGTGTGTGTGTGTGTGTGTGTGTATGTAACTTGGTGTAACTTGAAAAGCTGATTCTAGAATTTATGGGACAACATTTTCATTTTATTTAATTACATTTTATAACCCAAAACTAGAAACTACCTAAATGCTCCTGAACATTAAGATGAATAAACTGGGATATTCACAAAATGTAATATTACACAGCAAGAATAAGCAAGAATTGTTACATACAATTGCATGCAGCAATAATATAGGTGGCCAGCAAAACATAACGATGAATGAGAAAAACAAGTCACAGACGAATATACACAGCAGTTCAAGCACTTTATACATGTTAATGCATTTAATCCTCAGAACAACCTCATTAAGTGATTGTGTGCCCCTCCCCCTCGCCACCCCCGTCACCGCCCACCTTTGGGGCCAGGCAGGTCTTCTAGAGAGGATGCTCCAAGCAAAAGATGACTCGGATATTTCTGGGGTAAATAACCTGGCCTCCCCAGCAAAAAAAAGTGAAGCAGACATTGCCCAGGCAGGATGTGGCAAACACGATCTACCTGGCAAGTTTATTGCACCTGTGATCTTACATAACTCAATCAATCACTTAGTCTTGTGCACAGAGAACTCCATGTTTGGCTATGGCGAGTGGTAGAGTGGAAGTAACAGAGTGACCATTTACTGAGCACCTTTATGTGCCATGCTCTGGGCTTGATGCTGGGGATATGATGGGGAAAAGGTCCACACACCCATCTTCTGGTTTAAATAATAATAACACTTATTGAGTGCTTACTATAAGCTAGACACTCTTCTACGCATTTTATATGCTTAACTGTCTAATCTTCATAACAACACTATTACTAGCTTCTTTTGACAGATGAGGAAATGAAAGCACAGATAGATTTGTCCAAGGTCACGGAGATAGGAGTTGGGACTGAAACCTAGGCAGTCTAAATCCAGAACCTCTGAGTCACTGAATCATCCAACAATATGGGGGATAGGTATTAATCCTGAAGGTCAGAACTAAAGAGAGCACCTATTTATTTTGTACCCTTTATATTAGGTGATTGGTGTGTATTATTTCTCCAACCTAAAAAGGAAGTTCCCAGTAATATAAGGGTCTTAATTCTGGAGAACCCTGGTATGCAGAGAGCGGCTTGCCTGCATGCCACCTAAACCCAACAGCCCCTTAGAAAGGTTCAAGACTGTCCAGGTAGGTGAGGGTGAGATGCAAGTCTGTCTCATCTAGGTTCCTAGAGCTCCCAATGAGTGAAACTGCTGGTGAAAAGGAGGAGAGAGGAGAACATGAGGCTGGGTTTCCCCCTCTTCTTCTCTTCTTCCATCTATATCCGACATCTTACAGACTATATTTAACATCCTACATCTTCCTGGATGCTCTAAGCAACTACCCTTCCTCTCACTAGCCCTGACCCTGGACCTCCTGCAGCATCAGCATAATGGAAGCTTGGTCAGCTGGTCCTTGAGTTGTCTCAGTCCCACAGTCCACAGCTGTCTTATCTCTGCCCACCTTATGGCTCCTCAGGCCATAATCCTTGAGCTGGAAGCACTTTGGTCCACACTGTCCTCTATTATCTATGGGGAATGGTATACTCCAGTTTTTTACAAATAGTTTTATAGGTTTCATTTGCTTCTCCCTTGCTCCTCTGTTTCCTTATATTTTCAAAGTGAACAATATGCCAACAGGCTTTCCCTGAGAAGACTGTCTTCTTTCTCTCTCTGATGAGAGCAGCGAAAAGTGTCCATATGTGCCAAGAAGGCAACATAGGAGACAGGACACCCAGCCTTTCCCAGCCCAGTCAGGTATAGATCAATTAGAAGAGGCTTGAGAAAGAGGAGGAGCAAAACTGACCAATGATATGGTACTGTTGTGTACCCAGCACCTGTGCCCTGAGAAACTATTCTAGGAGCCATAACCTTATTTCACCCACACACTATCAGACAGGACCAATTTCAGACATTTCACCGAGGTCACCAAAACAAGACATTCTCCGCTAAGCACTGAACGGTTCCACACTAGAAATTTCAAATTTCAAGCAAGAAACATTCCAAGTAAGCTTGAGAGGAGAAAGAAAAGTTCCTAGTCAAAAATCCCTCTGATTAAGTGGTCTTGACCCAATCTTCATTCTATCTGTCTTTACCTCTTTTTGTCACTCTCTCATTCTTTCTCTACCTTCTCTGACATTAGCCTCTTGTTATGTTATAGCTACTTTATCCAGCTGTTCATTAATTCCAACTTCCAGGTATATATAGGGGTATATAGGGGCGGCATGTCCTTTGCTCTTCTTCTATACCCACTTTACCACCACCACCTGAAGTCCATGGAAGCAAACCCCACTTACAGCCCCTCCTCCGTTGCAGCCCACTGCTGTCGCTGCTGTGTGGAATCCAGATCTTCTGTAACCTTGTTTGGGTGAGCTCTTCCATCTCTCGAGACATCTTAGATGTCACAGCTAATGACACCACTGTCCACAAGGTACCGGGCCTCACTTCCTGTCCTGCTATCTGTCTCTTCTGTTGCTGTGGCCACAGCAATAGGTGGACAGCGTTGGGACAGGGAAGTGAGCTGAGCCCTCTGGCAGCCTGTCTCCAGCCTCCTCTCCTTTTTCCTAGTCCTTGCCTGCCTTTGGTCCTGTATGTAGCAGTGGGGACTTGGGTGCAGAGAGGGAGAGGTTGGGTAGAGGTCAGTAGAGGCCTTTGAACTCCAAGAGCTGTGTACATAGGAGATAAGTTCCTTCCAGCAAAGGAGGGCGGCCAGCAAGACAGCCCAGGTCGGGCCAGTCACCTCCCTCCAATGAAGACAGGACTAGTAGAGTATGCAAATAAAAGACCAAAGATCATGTGCTTACATCCTGTGCAAGGTGGGGAGGCAAAGGTGATGGAGGCAGGTCTCAACAGCTTTCACAGCTTTGAAATAAAATACAGGCCCAAGTAGAATGTCAAGGTTCAACCCGGAAACAGAGATCCACATCAGAAATGCAAGGTTCCCAAGTACGAACACACACAGTCCCTACTGACGAATGCAATGTTTTGATCTAGCAATCAAAGGTCCAAACTGGAAGTGGAAGGTTCACTGCCTTACTGCCCCACCCTCTCATACAAAATGGCATTGCAACACTTGTGTTCCCCTCAATTCTGCTGACTTTCCTGTGGCAGAGCCTCTCCTCCTAAAATGTGCTGTCTGGGGCAGTCTTGGAGAGATGGGCACTATCTAATCATCTTTATGCTCTCTCCAGCCAAGGCTAAATATATAGGAGTAAACCTGACACCTCTGGGAATAGGAATGAATGCAGCCATTGCTCGGTGAGAGATGGCAAGCACTGCCCACATGGCTGCCAGCAGCCATCGGGTGCCCTAGGGAGAAAGGCAATGTGATCTGATTCAAAACCTGGCAAAAGTTCCTCGTGCCAACCCATAGGCATGGAGGTTTAGGGTGCAGTCTGCAGCAGGCTGAGTGTGGGCAATAGGGAGCAATGAACTCAAAGTAGGACATCCCACGCAGATGTCTCCACTTTACCCTCCATCTTCCCCTGGTTGTAGTGAGGCTTTTATGTGTAGAATTCATCTAAAGGCACAGCTTACCTGGAAGGTGTCCAAGTGTACTCTTACTTCATTATTTTGCAACCTTCCCACCCCCTGATGAACCTCTTGTGATTGGCTACAAGGAAGCTCAACTTTCTTCCACTCAGCTGGGCCATACAGGGGCAATCTCCTGGGAATAGAAATCTCCAACCCCTGCCCTCCAGCCCCTGCTCTTAGCTCCACTTTGCCTTTTAAGAAATTCCCTAAAGTACATTCTCAGTGTCCTACTCTATACAAGGGTTAGATCCAGTTGCTGTTTATAAATCATAAACTTTCAATACATTTCAGAGCCTGCCCATGTGAATGGATCTACTGAAGCAGTGGATCACAGTGGTGAAGAGCAACAGGCTCTTGGAGCTATACTACCCGAGTGGACTCTCACCTCTGCCCCTTGTCATGAGACCCAAGGCAGAAGGCAACTTCTCAATGCTTCAGTTTTTTCATCTGGTAAGATTCAGCATGTTAATACATGTAAAGCAACCTGGGAAATGCTCGATATATATCACCTAACACTGTGTGATTCATTTTGTGAAGTAAATGATCAGTCATGTCTTTGGCAAATGTAATGCTGACCAAACAGGAAATACTCGATAAAGGAAATTTATAACATTAAGACAAAGGGTTAACATTTATAATAAAGAGCTCCTGCCAACCAACTAGAAAGATGAATTCACTTTTACTTTTTTGGTTTTGTGAAGTCCCCTAGAAATTGTTTCATCCAACCCTCTGAGGTAAGAAACTGGAGGTCTAGAGAAGGAAGTATTTTCCTAAGGTCCTGTAGCAAATAAGTCAGGAGTAGGACACTGGGTACCATATTTCTCCCAGTCCAGGGCTTCTCATTGGTTAATTGATCAATCTAGCTTGATTTAAGAATGTGTTCTTCCACATTAGCTTAGAACCTTTAGACTCTCATAACTAGATTTTGAAAGATATGTAACTCTCTTAATCCTAAAAAGTTTAATAAATATCACTCTGCTAATGCTAATAATCTTAATAACTTTTTACATGTATGTTTTCCATGGCCCACAACGCAGCAACATATTCCTCATCCTAGTTTCTCCTTACAAACACTCTCACTAGCCTCAGGGACACTGAGGTCTAGGGAGGGGAAGGGGCTTGTCCAAGGTAATTGAGCCAGTAACATGAGCCTTCTTCTGTTTATAATTTTGTCCTCATGATCCTGCCAAGAGGCAGAAAGATAATTTTAGCAGCAGGAAATCTGATATAGGAGACTAGCGGGCTTTTGGCAAGGTCTGAAATGGTAAACCTAGGGTCCAATCTTGAAAACCCAGCTTAAAATGGCCTGGAATTAGCTATTAATTTATTTTTTACCACTGTTATCAATTCTGGTCGCAGAAGCAGGAAAATTAAACAAGCTTCATGGAAAGGCCTCAGCCTAGATCTTGTCAATCAAGTCCTAACCCACCTCTCTAGTCATGCATCTCTTTAGCCCCCTCCCCATGCTTAAACTGCACTGGCTGACTCACTGAGCCCCAAAACATACCATGTACTTTTTTTTTTATTCCCTCAGTCTTTGCTTAGCCTGGAATGCCTTCTCTTCCCTTCCATTCTCAACAAAATACAACTCACTCTTCAAGGCCTGGTTCAATGTTTGCCTCCTTGGGAAGCCTTCCCTGTATCCTCAGGGCAGATTTTGTCTTTGGTTATCATATTAACTATATGCTTCTGTCTATCTGAGCAAATATCCACCTGTATTTTTACTGGTCTGCTTCCTTACTAGACTGTGAGATCCATGAAAATGGGAACGGGATCTCAGCTATCTGTAATCTGTGTTTCCAGTGTCCAGCTAAGGCCTTGGCACAGAGGAGACTATTGCTCAATGAGTGTTTGTACAATCTACATCTCTTTGCCCTAGATGAGATGAATATGTGGACAAATAATCCTCATTCAAACAAGGAAAATGTTATACAGAGAGCTATGCAGGGTCCTGGGTGGAGGAACTAACTTGGTCTGAAGATAGAAAGTGGCATCTGGAAAGTTTATCAACCTTGAATGGGGCAGAACAGAATACATAAAAGAAGGAAGTCCTCCGTGAACAGGTTGAATTAACTGGTTAAAGAAGAAGTGTTCACTCAATATCAGAGACTTGCTCAAGACCAAAAGCTGAGCCACAAATTCTAAAATGGGGTTAATTCTGGGGAAGAAAAGAACACAGTGCGACTTCCTGAGGCCCACCGATCCCAATCATCCTTCCAAAGTATGAGGTATGTTAGAGAATTCCATTAAAAGCAGTATCAAGAGAGGACGGATGGGTAACAAAATCACCAATGGGGTTTTCCTATTGGTAATTCTTGAAGCGTGTGGGTGTGAATGCATTTGTGGGAGGTTAGGGTGCAGAGGGGAGATTGGCCACATGCTTTCAGGTCAGGTGCCTATATATAAGTATCAGGTCTTCTGAGGCGGCAGTCTAGGATCGTCTTCTTTCTCAGCTACTGCCTTGGCCCACCATCTCCCACTATTTTCAGCCCCATGTGTTGGGTCCAAGGCTCACTGCATTCTAGTTCTAGGAGTGGCTCTTCACAAACCACAGTCACGCAGAGAGAAGAGCAGAAAGAGGGTTGTGAGTTGTATTGCCTGCCAAGACTGCAGAAAAAGCAGGATCACTAATGTCACATAGAGTATAGAAGTACTGAAATATCTCTAAAGAGCTCTGGTTCCTGTCCTTCCACTCCTCTTCACCTAGAGACAGTCCTCTGAGGAAACTTCAATTTCCATTTTAGTTGAGGAGGCTATTGAAGCCCAGAGAAGCTAAAAGGCTTGTCCCAAGTGTCAGAGCAAACCAGCCCTACCTCATACACTGGGGGAAGTAAAAAACATAATCTCTATCACCCAGTTCATTCAAAACTGAAGTAGACCAAGTCAGAGAGCCTTTTTGGGCCAGGGTCCCACAAACACAGATCAGAAGGATGACAGATAGATAAATAGATAGATCTATAAATAGATACAGCTATCATCTTTTCCCCAACTCTCCCACACCCTTTAATGCACATTTCAAGTGGCCACCTATGCAAATAAAAAAAAACCTTTCCAGACAGCCTAAAGAACGGATTTGGATTTGTGTAACTCCTTTTTCCTTTCACCTACCTGTTCTCTTAGAGGTTTTTTCTTCCATTGGTAACTATCCGACACGCAGTCCTCTTCTATTTAGACCCCCCAAACAGGTCCAGTGGGTGGCGTCAAAGAGGGAGCCTGGAGCCTTCCGTTGGTTCCCTGGGAAGGCTGGGGAAGTACCCTTGGTAAGAGGGGTGTGTGTGCGCTCTGTTGAAATATCAGCTGTTGTAGTTGCCAAAGAAGTTCCCGAGCCACCCAGAGCCTTTTCTCTTCAAGCTAACCATGTGTTCACCTTGCCCCAAAGGTCAGAACTAATATTAACAAGCCACTGCAGAATGGGAAAATTAAAACCAGCAACTGAGACAGGCAAGATCTGTATGCATTTCCTTGGGGCTAAATTTCAGATTGTTCTTCAGTGTAAGTAGGCATGATCCCTTACTGGAAAGTAATTTGGCAATATAAAGCAAGAGCAATAAAAAGGTTCATTTCCTTTGTCCTCATTATCCCACTCCTGGGATTTAATCCTGAACCAATAACCACCAAAGCATGAAAAAGTTCAAAACAGCACATATTTAATTTTAATTGCAGAGCTGTTTTCTGATGGCAACAACTGGAAGGTAACCTTTAAGTCCTCCAGTAGGAAAAGCAACTCTTTGAGTCTGCAGATATTAAGGATGATTAATCTAAGGCTATCAAATTCTGGGGGGGGGGGAGAGAAATAATTATGCTGCAATTCTGGGTGAGGAACCTAAGTTACACTTTTCCCTGTACATTGTATATGTCTATTACAGGGGTCCTCAAACTTTTTAAACAGGGGGCCAGTTCACTGTCCCTCAGACCGTTGGAGGGCCGGACTATAGTTTTAAAAAAAACTATGAACAAATTTCTATGCACACTGCACATATCTTATTTTGAAGTAAAAAAACAAAACGGGAACAAATACAATATTTGTATTTGCATGTGGCCCGCGGGCCGTAGTTTGAGGACCCCTGGTCTATTATTTCTATTTTTGTGTTCTCAAAAACAAGTCACGCCCTAGCCGGGTGGCTCAGTGGGTTTGGCTCAGAAGGGTCCCAGGTTTGATTCCAGTCAAGGGCATGCACCTTGGTGCAGTCTCCTCCCTGACCTGGAGCCTGGTGTGTGCAGGAGGCAACCAATCAATGTGTTTCTCTCACATTGATATTTCTCTCTGTCTTTCCCTCTCTCTTCCACTCTCTCTAAAAATCAATGGAAAAAATATCCTCAGGTGAGGATTACAATAAATAATAATTAATAATAACAATAAAATGAATTAACTTAAAAAATCAAGTCACTAACCTGTTGGTGCTATTGCTATTGTTCTTTGTTATTCATTCAACAAATATCTACTAACTCCTCTAATATATGTTATCCCCCATATTAGGGGATGGGACTAACAAGATGAATCAGACATGTTCATTGCTCTCAAGTTTCTGGCAGTCTAGACAGAAATAGAAATCACTGGTAGCTGTGCAATGTGATAAGTGCTGTGACAGAATGGACCATAGGGTGCCGTGAGGGCCTAGAGGAAAAGATCTAACTGGGGAGGTGGGTGGTTAGGAAAAAGTTACTCCAAAATATATTCCTTGAGCTGATTAAGATAGGGTTTGAATCCCAACTCTATCACTTCTCTGAGAATGAAGTGAATTCACTCAATCTCTCCTACTTAGTCTTAATGGCCCTTAAAGGGTTGTCCTGAGAATGAAATGAGATAATGCATATGTAAGAGCCATGGGAGCTTGGTAGCTCACTTAAATTCTCTGGGCCTCAATTTTACCCATCTGAGAAATGGAGCCAAGAGAATGTATGTGTCCAGCCATGTCCTTAGGATGTTATAAGGCTCAAGACAGATAATGGCTACAGGGCAGGCTTGAGACAGCCTCCTCCCTCCCACTCTGCCCACCCAATAAAGCCAGAGCCCTCTCCTAAGTCTTATGCTTCGTAGTGCTCCCTCCTGCAGCGGCAAACTTCCCTTCACGCATCCTTCCTCCCTCGCAGCACAGTTACGTCAGCTGCTCCTAGGGCGCCAGCGCCACAGCTGTCTGCTTTCAGGCAAGGCGGGCTGTCACATTGGGGGAGGGGCTTCGGTGGCTGCACGGTTCCGCTGCATTTGTAAGTCATCGGAAGCATCGAAAGGGCTTTGGGGCAGAGCAGAAACGCAGTCACACTAGGATGCGTGAGCTAAAGTGCTGCGGGACAATGGGGGGAAAAGGGGACATATGTAATACTTTTAACAATAAAGATAAAAAAAATAATAAAGTGCTGCGGGAGAAACAGAAGCCCTACCGGAGGCCTTTTTCCCGCCATTCATTCCTCCTAGACGTCCGCTCCGCCCCCTGCAGCTTCCTCTCCTGTAGCCAATGGGAACTGAGGGGCTTGAAGCCCCGCCCACGTGCGTCCTACCGTTGCGTGGCACGTCAGAGGACGCCTGCGCAAGTGCGCGCGGAAAGCCGGAAGGCCCGGGCCAGGGGGACTTGGGGGAGTCCTGCCGCTCTCTGGTCCCCGGGTTGGGCGCCCGAAGGCCGGGCCAGGGGGACTTGGGGGAGTCCTGTCGCTCTCTGGTCCCCGGGTTGGGCGCGGGCTGGAAGATTTTAACGGTTTGGTGTCACAATGCTGCGCGTGGTGAGCTGGAACATTAATGGGATTCGGAGCCCTCTGCAAGCGGAGGAGCCCAACAGCTGTACCACCATGGCCATGGCGCGCGTTTTGGACAAGCTGGATGCTGACATCCTCTGTCTTCAGGAGACTAAAGTTACCAGTGAGCGTTCAAGAATCCAAGACCCCTACCATACTTTCCCCTTTCTGCTAACTTGCCCGCTGCTCCATCTCATTTCACTCTTCTATTTCTGTCTTTAGACTCCTCCCCTTCTTAGACCCTCTCAGAACCCCAGTCCCCTCCCCTTGAAACTCCTATTTCTCAATTCAGCTAGATCTCCTAATTCCCAGTTCATCCCTCCTGTCCCCAGCAGACTAATTCCCTCCCCCCTTGCAACCTCCATCCTCGCTCAGATCCTCTAATTCCCATTCATTCTCCTACCCCGGCTCAGCCCCCATAATTTTCTCCCGGCCCACACACTGTCCATCTCCACTTCCAAGTCAGACTCCCCAATTCCTCCTCCCTGCCCCCAGCTCAGATCCTTTCATTCCCACCCATTTTTGCCCCCAGATCGGACTCCCTAATTTCCTCCTAATTAGATCCCTTCTAATTAGATCCCTGGTTCCCCTTATCTCTCCTCCCATCTCTCCCCCCACCCCAGCTCAGAGCCTCTCATCATTTTTCCCTCATGTTCATCCCAAGCTTATTCCTCCCAATTCCCTCTCCTTCCCATCCATCTCCCATCCCCAGCTCACTCTCCTGATTCCTTCTCTGCCCCCCCCCCCCACACACATTCTCTTCTGAGACTCCCTAACTGCTTTTCCTTCCATCTCCAGTTCAGATACTCTAATTCCCTCTCCTGCCCCCAGCCCAGATTCCCAGATCCCTATTTCCCTCCCCCAGCTCCATCCTGTCACTTAGTCACCTCCCTCCTCCTACCTAGTTCTCTACCTCCCATTCCATAGTTCCTTCCTCCTAATTCCAATATCAATTCCCTCTCTAGTCCTAACCTTTCGGGCTCCTCCTCTAATCATAGATACTTCCTTTTATTTTCCAACTCTGACTCTGATGTGTACAAGGAATTGGCCTTACAACTCTAATTCCAGGCCTTTATGTGTCCTGGGTCTTAGTTTCATCTCTGACATAATGTTACATCTTTTTTCAGGGGATGCACTGACAGAGCCCCTGGCTATCATTGAGGGCTATAACTCCTATTTCAGCTTCAGCCGCAACCGGAGTGGCTATTCCGGTAAATGGGGGTTTTGGGGGACTTTAAATTGGTGATGAAAGCAGGTAGGGAGAAAGGGTTTTCCAATCTTTGATGAGAAGGTAATGAGAAACTTAGGCTTTTAGTCCATAGAGCTAAAGCCACATAAAATTGTTTGTCAAATTTTATGTGTCAAATTATCCTATTGGACCTCAGAAGCACAATAGTGTGGTGGTTAATTGTATGAGCTCTGGAGCCAGATTGCCTGGGTTTAAATCCTAGCTCATTTTCTAGCTCTGTACCCTTTGGCAAGTTGCTTAATCTCTTTATGCCTCAGCTAGAAAATGGGGATAATGAGTACCACCTAAGGCAATTATAAAGATTACACAAATGAGTCCACGTGATAATGGTAGTAGCTAACACTAGTTGAACATTTATCATGTATTCATGTACAACACTTAGAATATTAGCTGCTGTACATGAAGAAATTGAGACTTCAGGGTTTGAGTAGAGTTTCCCCAGGCTCTAGGGAGCCATCAGTGGCCTTTGAGTTGGTAGAAGCGTTGATACAACCACACTTGATGAGGATGACTCAGGTGACTTGTGTGGGGGCAACAGGCTGTTGGCTGCCAGGCCTGCTCAAAATACCCTGTCTGTCTCTAGGTGTAGCCACCTTCTGTAAGGACGGCGCCACCCCAGTGGCTGCTGAAGAAGGCCTGAGTGGCCTCCTTGCCCCTCAGAATGGGGACGTGGGTTGCTATGGAAACATGGATGAGTTCAGCCAAGAGGAGCTTCGGGCTCTGGATAATGAGGGCCGGGCCCTCCTCACTCAGCACAAGATCCGGTAATAGCGCACCTCCCCCCTCTCACTGAGCACTGCTGGTTCTATTCTACATGTGATTCTGAGGCTAGCCTTTATAAACAGGCATTCTCCATAGGAAACTTGCCAAACTTGCCTTTCCTGGACTCTGGTCCTGGCTGGGTTACTCACTGTGTGACACTGGGTAAATCGTGTTCCCTCTGAGCCTTGAGTCCCCCATTTCTACAGCGGGCAAGGCTGGGAGATTCAGCTCTGGTATTTCCACAGGCACAAACAAAAGCAATTTATCATAGGCTGAACTCATTGCCCCAAGGTGCTCTCATTCTGTGTGTCCTGTCTTTTTGACTGGCAGCACCATCCCCTGCTTTACCTAGGTGTCAGCCTAGATGGCCCTCTCCTTGCCAAATCTCTCTTCAGTCCCCAAGTCCTGTGTGTGTCAGCTCGTTCATGTCTTTCTGTCCCCTTTGCGCCCATCCCACAGAGAACCATTAAGTGGAAGCCCCGAGGTGTGGGGAGGAGAGGCTTGAAAATGACTCATTTTCTTGGGGGGTTCTGTTCTCCCCAGCACCTGGGATGGTAAGGAGAAGATCTTGACCATAATCAACGTGTACTGCCCCCACGCTGACCCTGGGAGGCCTGAGCGGCTGACCTTTAAGATGCGCTTCTATCGCTTGCTGCAGATCCGAGCAGAAGCCCTCCTGGCAGCTGGCAGGTACTGCAAGCTTGGACAGCAAGGCTTCCTTGAGTTTATCTTGTGTGCCCAGCCTATTTCAAGCTCCATTGGAAGGGAAATGGGATATTCGTCTTGTGAGTTTTTTCAGTCTAGTGGCAGACACCAGCATCCCTACTTGAATAGGCCCTGCTCTATAAGATTACGAGGACCAGGGAAAGGAACACAAATACAGGGTTTGTACTCAAATACCTCTGAGCACCTATTCTGGCTCCTCCTTTTACTCACTACGAGCCCCAAGGCTAGTCCTGCTTCTCTTTTCTCTTTTGTCAAATGAATGTATGAATCCCTATCTCACAGAATAGCTTTAAGAATGAAATGAGATGAGGAATATGAAATTCCTGGGAGCAAATAATAAGTGTTATCCCAGAGAGGGACAGGAAAGTGAGGGTGTGTTAGAGTAATCAAGGGATGCTTCCTAGAAGAAGTGGTACCCCAATTCAACTTTGAAGGACCAGAAAAATACCCTGAGGTGATGAGCCAGATAGTCATGTCCAATGGAACAGTGTCACCTTTGGAGATCAGAATTGAGTTGGTTAAGAGTAAAGGGCAGCAAGGTTACAATGAGATTGTAGAAGGAGGCTGTTACCAGTTGCTGTTGGTTCTCACCTTGGCCTCAATTTGGGAGGTGGCCTGTCTGAGCTCTTGAGCCCAGGAGAACGTAGATGGGCCAGGACTACTGCTTCCCTCGCTTGAATGCCCAGTTGACAATCCCACTGTTGTGTTTTTCAGCCATGTGATCATTCTGGGTGACTTGAACACAGCGCACCGCCCCATTGACCATTGGGATGCAGTCAACCTGGTAAGGCTCCCTCTATGCCCCTGACCTCACTCCTGACTGTGGTTCTGTTCAGCCAGCCAATCAGTGCTGGTTGTTTTTTTTTTGTTTGTTTGTTTGTTTGTTTTTGGCCCAGGGGCAGCTTCCTTCATGGAAAAGCAGAACTTAGTTTGAAATACTATTCTCAAAGCACTGAGGATTGTTTATTCATTCAGTAGACTTTACTGACCCTACCCTTGACCTAGCCTGAGTCACATGATGGTGACCCAGGTTACCGCCCAGTTCTGACTCTTGGCCCCTCAGAGTTCTCTGTGTGGTGGTAGGCTATGGACACATGATCAGCCACTTATAGAATGGTGTCTTCAGGGCTGAGACAGAGATGGCAGCTAGGGAGCTAGGGAGCTCAGAAATGGGATTCCTGGGCCAGCCTGGGCATCGGGGAGGCATCTGAAAATGTCTGAATCTTAAAAGATGAGTAGAGTAGAGCTTTGGGGCGAGGGCACCAAAGCATTCTAGCATGAGAAAAGGCTACAGGTTGAGAATTTGCCTGGTGTGCATAGGGAGCTGCAAGTCCCATTCTTAGGGGGTGACATGGGAAGGGAGGTGAGTGGCCAGAGATGGGGCTCCTTTGGGAGCCAGAATTCAAGGGCCAATCATTTTTCTAATACACTCTGTCTCCTGCTCATGAACCTTTTTTTTTTTTTTTAGTTCAGAACTATCCTAGATCTAAGTGCACCTTCTACCTTCTTTCTTCCAGCAAATGAGAATTAATAGTACCAGGTCACATGGCACTGTCCAAAGTAGAGGAATATGTCCACTTCCCACAAGACCAGCTCTTCTAGTCTTCTCATCTTTAAAAATGGCACTATCATCCCCTTGGTTGCTCTTTCCAGAAGCCTGGGAATTGTGTTAGTATTGTCCTTCTTCCTCCTCTACCCTTCCCACACTCAATTGGCCAGTGAGTACTGGAGAGTCTAGCTCCACATCATCTCTTTTTGAAAAATACATTTTTATTGATTTCAGAGCGGAAGGGAGAGTGAGAGAGATAGAGACATCAATAATGAGGAAGAATCATTGACCAGCTGCCTCCTGTATGCTCCCCACTGGGGACTGAGCCCGAAACCTGGCATGTGCCCTGACTGGGAATCAAACCATGACCTGGTTCATAGGTCGAAGCTCAACCATTGAGCCACACCTGTTGGGCTCCACATCATCGCTTCATTTCAGTTTTCTCTGTCTCCTCTGGTACACCCCTAGTCTAAGGGCATGAACTATAGTAATCAGCTGCCGGTATTCTGGCCCTCAGTTTGGCCTCCCCTCAGGTGTTTGGGTATACTGTCCCCTCCTTCCAGGGGCCCATCACAGAGGCTGTTCTCTTCATTTGTAACACCCTCTGCCTAGGTTACTCCTGCTCAGTGTTCTTTGAACATTTGTTGCATTGAGTGGGTGGGTGAATTGGATGGATGGATGGATGGATGGATGGATGGATGGATGAACTGGGGAGCAGAGTCAAAGGAAGTAATCAGACATGGATTTCTGGAGCCCCTGAGCTCAGGAGTGAGGGATGGTCAGTGAGGGCTTTGACACAAGAGAAGCCAAATAGTGCCAGAGGGTTTAAATGAAAAGGCAGCAGTCTTCTTAACTCCTAGCCCTAGCCCTACTTTTTAGAGGCAGCCACCTTTAGCTTCCTATTTTCCATTCTTTTGGTGAGCAATTCTAAGAATTGCTTTGATGAAGCAAATAAACAAATGAGGAAGGATGGAAATGGAATCCCAGCCGTTGCTGGATTACATTTTCTTGTCTGTAAAATGAAGCAAAGTCCCTTCCGGCATCTAGTTCTGCCTTTCCCTTTGTCCCCCTTCCCTTTCCCCAGGAATGCTTTGAAGAGGACCCAGGACGCAAGTGGATGGACGGCCTGCTCAGTAAGCTGGATTGCCAGGGTGGGTCCAACGTAGGGGCTTTTATTGATACCTACCGCTGCTTCCATCCAAAGCAGGAGAGGGCCTTTACCTGCTGGTCAACAATCACTGGCGCCCGCCGTCTGAACTATGGCTCCCGGATTGACTATGTGCTGGGAGACAGGACTCTGGTTATAGACACCTTCCAGGACTCCTTCCTGCTGCCTGAGGTGATGGGCTCTGACCATTGCCCCGTGGGTGCAGTCTTGAACGTGTCTTCTGTGCCGGCAAAACAATGCCCTCCTCTTTGCACCCGCTTCCTCCCTGAGTTTTCAGGCACCCAGCTCAAGATCCTTCATTTCCTAGTCCATCCCAAACAAGAGCCTGTGTCCAAGCAGTCAGTGCTGCAGCTCAGCAATCAAACCCAGGGACAGATGCGCCAAAACAAAGCCCATGTGCGCTCGATCAGGCCTCGGCCAAGTCGGGCTGGCTCCGGCAAAGGCCAAAAAAAACTGATTAACTACTTCCAGCCATCCTCCAGCCGTCTCCAAGCTTCTACCAATTTGGAGCTTCCTAACCTGCGTGCCCTTGTGACTCCAAAGATCCCAGAAGACAAGGTGATGGGCAAAGGGGTAGAGGGGCAGGCCAAGGATGCAGAGGCCAAGGATGAGAAGGAGCTACGGACCTCATTCTGGAAGTCTGTGCTGGGGGGTCCCTTGCCCATGCCGCTCTGTGGGGGCCATGGGGAGCCATGTGTGATGCGAACTGTGAAGAAGGCAGGACCCAACCAGGGCCGCCACTTCTACATGTGTTCCAGGCCCCGGGGGCCTTCCACTGACCCCTCTTCTCGCTGCAACTTCTTCCTCTGGAGCAGGCCCAACTGAGCCCACCCAGGCAAGGGATATCTGGTCTGGTCAGCCCTGTACATGAACTGAGGCCAGCACCTTCCTAAGCTGTCACCTCCTCCCCCGAGGCCTCCTTTCCCACCCCCTCCTCCTCCTTCACCTTCCTCAGGAATCCTTCTGTTTCTTCTTTCTCTTCCTCCTCTAAGGCCTCTCTCCTTTCTCTTCCTGCCTTGCTCCTCATTGGTGAGCTACTTGTGCCTTAATTCTGCACCCCAGTCCTCCACCCCAATTTCCACCTTCCTGTAAGAAGTACACAGGAACCAGTTGCTCCAGGGACTTTTAAGACCCTTTCCTTCCTTGCTAGGAAGTGTATCTGCCTCAATAAAGTCTGTGTCTTTGTTTTAGTGCACCATGTCATTTGAAGGTTTTGGATATGCTCCATGAGATGTTATCTCAATACTGGGTTTGCCAACTGCCTGTCACCTGGTGGTATAACTCAGGAAGAAGGGAGGAAGGAGGAGTAGTGCTCACCATAAAGGGCTCTGCTGAGTTGTAGGGGTTCCCTGCACTGCTGAGGTTGGCTCGACAGAGGAGGTGGGTGTGGTGTGACAGAAAGCTCAGGTGGGTTGTATAGCTGTCAACCAACACTTCCCAACTGGTGTGTCTGACAGTTGCCATAAATGGGTTATGGGGTGGAAAGTAATGGGTCTCAGCTTTAGAGTTGCCAGCCAGGGTCCAGAATTGCACAAGTGTCAGGAAAGATTGCCTCCTAGGCAAGTATCACTGGTTTACCCGAGTACGCCATGCAAATGTTTTCTGTGTCCTGTGACCTGGGAAGGTTGGGAGCATTGCCTTGAATAAGTTGCTTTCTATAGTCAAGCCTCTTTCTCACCTGGTAAAATGGGGCTGCTAAGTCCTGTTCTATAAGGTGTGGGAAGGAAAGGATAATGGATTGAGGAGGACATCCATTCCTTCTGCTGGAAAGTAACTCCAAAGTTTTGGGGAACTACTCTTCTCCTCTAGGCAGATTGGTTTGAGCTGACTCTACCTCCTGGCTTCAGGGGCTACCTGAGGCTCAGGTGTCCAGGCTACCAGTGAAGAGTCAATCTCAGGATTTTTGTTGAAACTATTGGGTGAGAGCCACCCCATATAATAAAAGGCTAATATGCAAATTGTCCCCTCAACCTGCAGTTCAACCAGGGGGCGGGGCCGGTTGTCCAACCACCTGTGGCCCCTCCCCCCAGCCTGGCCCAGCTCCCAACGGCCCTGATTGGCCAGACCCCACCCATTCACGAATTTGTGCACCGGGCCTCTAGTTCAAATAAACCCAAGTGACTCCTGACACTTGTCCAACTTACTTTATAGTCTCCTTCTTTCTGGATTTCAGTTTCCCTATCAGTAAAATGGGGTCGGATCTACAAGTGATCTGTGGTTTACTGATGGCCCTGCCACTTGTCTTAGGGAGTCGGGTTTAGTGCAGTCGTTTGTTCTCTATCCAACAGAGGGCAACAAATGCTGCAATTTGCTCTTTATTTGTTTTCAAACTCAAGTCAGCTGAAGGCACACAACAAAGCAAAGGACAGGAAGAGGCCCAGCCCTAAGTGAAGTGCAGGTGGCTGGGGATCCGAGGCAGCTGGCTTCTCATGCGTAGGTGGTGACATACTGGGGCCCCATGTTTCCAAAGTAGGAGCGTTCCCACTCACTCATGAGCTCGAAGTGCACGGGACGGCGACAGAAATTGCAGGAAGCCACAGACACGTCCTGGAGGGGCAGCCCCACCTCAGTCCAGGCCACCAGCAGCTTCTCTGAAAATGGTGAGAGGAGAGGAGGGAAAGAATTGGTTAGACTAGGTTTTCTTAATCTTTGTGTCACAGTACAGCTGTGCCAAATGTAGATTCCCTTCAACCCTTCAAGATGTCTTGGAACCAGAAGTAGATTCTGGTTTGTTCCAGTGTGTGTTATGAATGTTGCCATTTGTGAATGGGTGCTGTGATGTGTAAAAGATTGGCAAGCTCCTAATTTGACACAATTTATACCTGTACTGGCCTGGTACAAGACATGCTATGGCCCAAGAAGTGAAACCATTTACTTGGAAACTCCTAGCCTGGAGAGAAAAATGACACTGACAGTAACCACACAGTGTCACTGTTGTGACACGGGAACCTGGGGTGGGGAGTGTTTCTGGAGAGGGTGGGAACCCAGAGGAAAGAACTTGACCTCACTTTCAGAAATGCGTCAGGTGTGTGCCAGAGCTCTGTCCATGGCTTTTTTTTTTTAATTTAATCCTTTTCCATTGATCTTTAGAGAGTGGAAGGGAGAGGGAGAGACAGACAGACATCAACTGGTTGCCACCCAGCCAGGGTTGGGGATTGAGCCTGCAACTGAGGTACATGCCCTTGACCAGAATCTCACCCACAACCCTTCAGTCCACAAGCGGATGCTCTATCCACTGAGCCAAACTGGCTAAGGCTGTCCATGATTTTTTAAATGATCATTCCTTTGGTGATCTAATACAGTCTCATGGATTTAAACACCATCTTTATGCTGATGATTCTCAAATTTTCATCCCCATCCCAGACACCCTCTTGAATTCTAGACTTGTATATTCAATTGCCTTTCAATATCTCCAATGTCAGGCCCCATGCTAAAAACTGTACCCTACAGGAATACAATAAACTTTAGGTGAATTGACTAAACTGCCATCTTTCAGGATAAAAACCAAGCTATTCAGTTAGCATTATAAATCTCTCAATCCAGTCCTTGTTTTTTATTGTCTTTTTGACATTCACCTCCCCCAGACGATTCCTACTATCCTGCATTCCTCTAACGCCTGCTTATTCCTTTTTTAAAATATTTTTATTGATTTCAGAGAAGAAGGGAGAGGGAGAGATAGAAACATTCATGATGAGAGAGAATCATTGATTGGCTGCCTCCTGCATGCCCCTCACTGGGGATTAAGCCCGTAACCTGACAGGGAATTGAACTGTGACCTGGTTCATAGGTCAACACTCAACCACAGCTAGGACCTCCTTATTCTTGATATATCCAAGGCTGCTTCTTACCCTCTCCTCCTTGCCTTTCTTTATGTTCTTCCCTCTGCTAGGAATACCCCTCCACACCCTCTTTATTCTCTTGGTTCAATACAATTCACCTTGAAAGACTCAGTTCAGGTGTCATCCCCACTAGGAAGCCTGTCTTGAATCCCATATGTTGGGTCAGGCCCCTCCTTTCTGCTCCCACACATTCCACATGTACTGTCTTTGTTGAACTTTCACCCCTTGAAGTCATTGTTTGTATCTGCTATGGCCTCCTCAACCAAACTGGAGCCCTACAAGTCTAGGGACTGTTTTTTATCCACTTATGGCCCTAGTGTAGAGTCTGGCACACAATAGATGTTTCAGAAATATATTTTTTAAATGAATGGCATCCATTCTCTCAACTTCTTCAGATCCTGGGGCTGAAAGGAGGGAAAGTGCAACCATGTTGAGGACTTACCCACAAAGTCTTCCATCATCTGAGGGCTGTGATGGGGGGAGGGTGCCAGGCGCAGCAGCTCCTCACCCCGGGGGACAGTTGGGTAGTTGATGGCCTGCACATAGATGCTATGCTTGGAGAGCAGGAGATCACAGATCTTGCTATTCAGTGCTGCATCACCCACCTGGGCTCAGGAAAAAAACCTGTCAATATCTGTCACCCTCGCCCCACTATCGCAGGTGGAGGGAACCAGATGAAGGAACAACACTGAATTTCTAAAAGTATTTTTTCATAAGGGCCTTAATCAGTGGCAGCTCCAGAATATCTCTATCAAGGAATTACTCAGAGGCACCAATCAAATTTTAAGGAGTGGGGTGGAGGTGGTGCTAGGAACCATGTCTTGAAGCTGTATGCAGAGCAAGCACATAGGTTTTATTTAGCTGGTATGTTAATTTGGGTGGTTCTGGATAAGAAGGAAAATCTCTTAAGCACCATCCATCTGGGATGCTGCCACTGGGTTAATTAAAAAACAACAACAACAGTTATTTACAAAAGCAATATTTCAAGGGAATGTTGGGTTGGTCCAAGGAGCAATGACTATTTCAATAGTCACATAAAAGTATCCTCCCTGCTCCCCTACTTACCGACACACAAATTGATGTTATTTAAGAAAGAACATATAGACATATATGTATAGTCTATGGACACAGATAATAGTGTAGTAAAGGCCTGGGGTGGGACAGGGGCTGGGTGGAGGGAGGCAAAGGGGAAGAAGGGGGAGACATCTATAATTCTGTCAACAATAAAAAAATAATAAAGACGTCACAGTTCATTTTTAAAGGCAGCAAACACTCAAACATAGTTGAGGATCCAAAATAGCAGCTAGTCCCATGGCTTTTGATTTTATATTTTCTGACTTCAATTCTCAATAAGAAATATATTTTATGATCATGCTATACACATAAACATGTACATACATGTGCTTATAGTCATATGCAAAACTGAAACAAATTTCCCATAAAATGAAACCCTTACTATGTGTGATGTACATGTTCTTTGCTATTGTTTTTTTTTTGTAAGCAACTATATTTATAGTAACGATACCATAGATGTGGTGAGTTAAGACAATGGCCATTCCTTAATAAAATACAAGCATTTTCATCATGCATAGTTTATAGGCTCCTTAAGAGGCGGTCTCTTTAAGAGGCTGGATGTTCAAGAAAGATTCTCATCATAACCTATTAAGGTGATGTTATGGCCCATGAATGGTCTTGATACACAGTCTGAAAAACACTGAATTATATATAGGTCATGGATACTCAATATTGTGAGGGTCAAAACAGTCTAATAAGGATGGCTAATGCAAAAAAAGAAGACTGGTTAATCCAGAACGGCTGATAACTTTTCAAAAATGGTTAACAGGAAAGAAAAGAGTTGATGACAGGAGCAGGTGTCAGTTTGCTGGGTGTGGGAAGGCTCCCAGAAGAGAGAGGAGGAGAGGGTGATGGGAAGCGTGGGGCTCTCACCCGGATGGGAATGATGTGGCTGGGACAGGGGATAACAGGAAGGCCCCTGTCCATTAGTAGCTGGCGCATGTGCTTGACATTGCGCTGGTGGGCCCGCCTCAGTGCTTGGCCCTCCTCTCCCTTGAGGAGCCGCACAGATTCCAGAGCCCCAGAGAGCACCATGGGAGGCAGTGAAGTGGTGAAGATGAAGCCGGCAGCATAGGAGCGCACCATGTCCACCAAGTCACGGGTGCCGGCGATGTAGCCGCCCACACAGCCAAAGGCCTTGCCTGGAGACAGGGAGGAGGAAGATATGCACAGACCCCATTTTCATTCCTCAAAAGAATAGGATCAAACCCCAAGTAACACAAGGAGGTGCAGCAGAAACTGGAGCTCCAGACTCCCTTCCCAGACCTCTGCTCATTTTTCC